CTTTTATAGGTACTGCAATCAGGTTCTTTGTAAAGAGATTGATGAGTGTGTGACTCTTCTTCTTCAAGAGCTTGTCAGTTTCCAGGAACGCATCTACCAAAAGGATCCTGTAAGAGCAAAAGCAAGGAGACGTCTGGTTATGGGTCTAAGGGAAGTTACAAAACATATGAAGTTAAACAAGATCAAATGTGTTATAATTTCTCCAAACTGTGAAAAAATCCAGTCAAAAGGTATTTTACTTCAGAAGTGTTTTGGTAGTTATTTAGTATAATTATAAGATATACAGTGAATTTTAAAGTGGAAGTTATATGTCTTAGCAGTGTATAAGGCTAAAATATAGTATTGAGCCTGAGGAAAGAAAATGAAATCTTTCTGTACCTGAAATTAAGTAATAAAATTGAGATTGGATTGTAAAGAACATCTTCATCTGTGAACACTAGTGAAGGATTTAAGTTGGGCCAAACAAGTGTACCCTCCGTGTAATCAGTGGGGCCTAATAAGAGTGTGTTTCTTTACCTCTGCAAGTATATTCTGCTTTTTACATTTTTATATTACCTTTCTTTAATGGCCCTTTTCTCTTAAAAAAAGATTCAGAAAAAGATAAAGGTTTCTGCTTCTGCTTATGGTGATTTGTCTCTTAGAAACCAACAGTTACATACAGAGGTTCTCGGTTAAGCCGGCATGCAAGTACTTTGTACTATGTTAGGTACCCTTACTTGTTCTTTTTCGTGAAGGAGCCACTTCAGGTGATTGGAGTAGACAGATGCATCAAGTAGCAGTAGCAGGCATTTTCTCCAAAGGAGAGAAATACCAATAAAAACAGTATTGTATGTAGTCTTATTACCTGTGATAGGTTGCTACTTGATCTGAGAGATTGGATAAAGGAATCAGCCACTATTAACCATTTTAATTAACTTTTTAACAAATATTTATTGAATTGAAATTTCTCTCTTTATGCTAATCCCTGTGGAGAGACAAAAATACTAACATTGAAGGAATTTGGAATTTAATTGGGGAGAAAGAAAGTATGTACATATATCCATATATAGTATAATTCAAATAGGAAAATGTGCAGAACAGCATAAGTGCCACAAGCATTTGTAGAATCCTTTGCTGCTGTGTTTTATGCTTTAGCTGTTGGGTGCTAAAATAGCTCTATTTTGGAAATAACTAAATTAAAACCTTTACATGGGCTTACTTTCTCAGGTGGCCTGGATGAGGCTCTCTATAATGTTATAGCGATGGCACGGGAACAAGAGATTCCCTTTGTGTTTGCCCTTGGAAGAAAAGCTCTAGGACGCTGTGTGAACAAGCTGGTTCCTGTTAGTGTAGTGGGAATCTTCAACTACTTTGGTGCTGAGGTAAGACTAGAAGACATATACCCCTCCCTAACCCCAACCCCACCTCCAGACAGTACATTTTTTGTTGACACATGCCAGTGTTGTTTAAGCATTTGAAGATGATGACTCTCCAAGAGTGGAAAATTCTTGAGTATTATTACATTTCCTTTTTTAGTGTTTAACCTTTACATAAGTTAATCCTACAGCATTTTGAAAACATTTTTAGCTCCTATTTCTGCCAGTGTTTTTTTTCTTCTGGGTTCAACTATGTAGTACTTAATAATTTATTTAACTGCTGGGTAAAGATTATCCGATATTATACAATGTAAAATAATTTTCTTTAATCTAAATGTTGGTTATATTTTATGCTATTAGGAGTCAAGAGAGAAAAGAATCCTTTAACTGGAGAGGATTTCCCTTTATAAATGAAATTTCTAAACCAGGCATTAGAATAATTCTGCACCCATGCCACCTTCCTCTCATAGTCAGCAAGTATAAAGCTGTGCCCATAGAAGCCGATAATATAAAGATTATTTATTTAGAGTAATGCTTATTAACTGATGTTTTTAAGACTTTTTTGTTGATTCTAAAGTATTTTGGACACCACTAATGAATTGTTTTCCCTCTTCTCACCTATTCTATTTATATATATTTAAGTGTCCTTTCCTATCCAGTAATCAGGTTTGCATACCTCCATTCCCCTATCCATTCAGTTTTTCCCCAATCACCTATGAAATTATCTACCTACTCACCTATTCTCTATGAATATATAATTAATATTTGTGCTTGCTGTAGTTTGTGTTTCTTTCCCCCTCGACTGTGAGTTCCTTGTGGGCAGGCCCCTTTTCTTTGTATCCCTGGCACTTTTCACACTACTTGAGTATGAATAGGTGATAAATGCGTCTTTAATAAATTCTGTGGTAGATGTATTTCTGCCTGAATGATATGTGAGAATTTGGGTGATAAATACCTCCATGGGAAAGAAGGATCACATATAAGACACCTGATTAAAATGTACTCCTTTTTTGTTCACTGTTAGAGTTTTATGGAACATGAATGGGATCAAGGTCAGGAAAAGTTTACATGTTGTTTTCAATTGTATTGACTTCCTACTGAATTATATATATACTAGGTTATTTTTATGCTTGCCAGTTTTGTGTGTACATTGTTTTACTTGCCTTCTACTCTTTTGAGGTAGGTAAGTTATTGTTTAAACCAAAATACACTGTTAAAATGGAGGTAAAGGAAATATTGATATATTATCCATTTGCAGTAATGTCATAGTGAACCTAAGTTATTTTTACCATCTGATAAAACTAACCTTTGAATTAACCTTCCTGTCCTTACACTGACATTCAAGGCTTATCTCTTCATTGATAGTTTCTTTCTTCAATTTTATTTTCTTCTTTTTATATTCTTTTATTCCCAGCAATTTGTTTTATTTATATTATAAAACCAATGTTAACTCAAAATCACATATCTACATGCTTATTTTCTTTTTATTGGCTTGTTAAACATTGCAAGCAAATATTTATGTAGTCGATTACATATAACACATAGGGGCTGTTTTTAACAGAATCCATCTTCCCTTTTTTAAAATAAGTAAAGCCTGAACATATTTTTCATATTACTGGTAGTTAACACCATCCTCCTAAAAAATTTAACACAGCAACAGCGTTTATCGTACCTGCTACTTTAAACAGTTTGAACTGCAGCTGGGTAAAGCATGCGGCTTATGTTTTTCTTAAGTTTAATTTTCAGAGATATTATTTCATAGCAATATGACACTTTTTTGCCATGCTTTCATCTTGTTATGGTTTATACTTAAATGACAGTGCCTTGGTAAGAGAAAAAAAATTGTGTGGCGCTTTTTCTCCTTTTGTCTGAAAACATAATTTTATATGTAAAATTGAATGTATTCTTACAAATGTCCAGGTCATGTTTACCATCTGAAATTTTTTACTTAATGTATGAGTGTTTTGCATTGTGATACTAAATCAGGACATTAAACAGGAGTAGAAGGTTGTTGAATTATGATGTAAGAACTACTAAAAGTTGTTTTTTGATTGTCTCTCTGGTGGCTATGGACGCTCCAGTTTTCTTTGGACATCATTAAACATGATTTTTAAAGTACAACTTTAATACTGTATGAATTTTGCCATTTTTATGAACATGAGTATGCTCTATCACCTAATATTTCACCAGAATTATTAATTCCATTCATATTTATTTCTATTTCACTGATGGAAGAACTTCTGGTTATTTAGCTCCCCACTCTACTTCCAGGCTCTTTATTCTATTTTCATAGTTTGCCTTTGTCCCAGTATCTTTGGCTTGTCTGTCTTATAAGTGTCATATTTTCATCATCTTCAAGGCCCCCGCTAGCCATATCATCACTGACTTATTTTTAGTCTCCTTCAACTTTTTTCCACAAAGAAACATTACAGGAAACTTTTAGTTCTTGTGGAGAGTGCCATCTTCTTCTACATCTTTGGACATCACCCTCCATACATTCGTTCCTTTATGTTCTAACTCACATAAGATTATTCATTGCTCCCCAAAGGAACCTTGTACTTTTTAAAGTCTGTATCTTTATTCATAGTTTTGCATGCTTAAGAATGCACTATTTCCATCTCTCAAAATTGTACCTATTTTTCAAGGCCTTTATCAGATGTCATATTACTTCATGAATTTCTCACTGATGCCCAGCAGTTAGATTTAACATTTTCTGCAAAGGCCAAAACACTTTGTACATCTCGAGGTATTAAAGATACTGTGCCTTAAATCATAGCTGTGTCTTATTTTCTCCTTCCAGCCACATGGAATTTTCCTTGAGAGCAGAGTGGTGTTCTAGTGGTCTTTGTACCCACTCTAAGTGTCAGGTGCTAAAGGGTGCAGTTGTTGAATTGATAAACTCTACAAGAACTTTGAATATATCACACTTAGTGACTAGTATTGAATCAAGAAATTTTCTCAGTCTCGTGATAATTAAATAAACAATGTATTTATAAGGCTATAAATACATTGTACAGAGTATTTATAAGGCTCTGTGGTTTGCATACCATTTGGACTTTGTGCTGATTGAAAGTGTATCTGATTCTGAAACAGTAGAGATATTTATTGCTAATATTAGAAATAAAAAGTTTAACAAAAAGTGGGCTAATCAAAATCTCTTTCTTTTTAGAGCCTGTTTAATAAGTTGGTAGAACTCACTGAGGAAGCCAGGAAAGCATATAAAGATATGGTTGCAGCCATGGAACAAGAGCAGGCGGAGGAAGCCTTAAAGAACGTGAAAAAGGTGCCCCACCACATGGGGCATTCTCGGAATCCCTCTGCGGCAAGCGCCATTTCTTTCTGCAGTGTTATTTCTGAACCCATCTCTGAAGTAAATGAAAAGGAGTATGGTAAGTTGTTACATACCATTTTAAATGACTTAAATTTTGAAATAATTCTAGTGATTAAGATCATTCGAAAATGATTTTCCATGCCATCTTTCATTTTTATCTTTGTAATTATTCAAAATTTCCTGAAAATTTTGGTTTAAAGGTTGCATTAAACATGTCCATTAAAAATTAAGAGAATATTAAGAGAATATTTGGGGCTGAGGCTTTCTTTGAGACCCTGGCAGTTAGTCACATTTCCAAAATCTTTAAAAAAGAAAAGAAAAACCTTAAAGAGATTGAAAAAGCAAAATGCACTGTAGTTGTGACCTATAACTTAGTAAGTTCTGGGAAGTTTTATTTTAATACTTTATACTGAATTATTAAAATTTTGTATTTTCTAAGTAAATAGACAACGTGGATACTATTAAGTCTAAGCTTATAAAACTAGGCATATGGCATTCATTTTGAGTTAAATCTGATCGTAGTCAAAAAAGAAGTTGGACTAGATAGCAGCATTTATGGGTAGTGTTTAAAGTAACGTTATTTGCTACACTCTACATGTTAGTATTTTTCTTGCCTTGTTTCTATAGCACTTTAAACACTTAAGTCCTTTACATTTTTTATCTAGTTTCTGATTGGTTTCCCTAATTTTTTTTCTTTTTAAAAATAGCATAACCACCTCCTTCAACTTGACTTTTACCTGGGGGTTTACCAAATAGCTTGTTGCCACCTAAAGTTTAACATGTAAGAACTGAGTCCTCATCTTCTCCCTTTCTTCTCACACTCCCTTTCCTGGTCTTTCTGGCTGTGATTGTAATTAAATGTTCGGAATGCTTTGGACAAAGCTACAGACCAGAGACAAAATAATTAGTTATTGTGAGCCTTTAGGAAACTGTTGGTCAAGTTTAGGTGGTACTGGCATAGAGGCAGACATATTTCTTTGGCTGGAATGATACTAGTTGCAAATAAAGAAGATAACGTGCCAATTTGTAAATGAGATCATGCTATATAGTATGCCAGATCTCAAAGGCAAGCTGCAAGGTAAATTCATAAAGCTGTGGATTTGGGCCCATGAAAAGAAAAGCTATGAACAGAACCTCTCAGAGGTTTAGAAGATGTTTTCAGAAAGCACCAGATTTAAACTGTTCAGTGATTGAAGCCTTGACTTTTTACACTCTGCTTGAGCTCTTTACGGATAATTGATTAATTTCTGCCTCAGATTTCTCATTAGTAAAATAAGGAAGGTTTGTCTAGGTCATCTGTAAGGTTCCATTCAAAACAAAAATCCTGTGGGCTAATGGTTGAATCCTAAGGAGGGATTTAGAACCTTAAAGATTCTGGCCTTATGAGCTGGTTTATCTGGGAACCAAGAAAATTGAGTGGAAATAATCATAGGTAACATTGAGAACAAAGTATAAAGTTACTCTATCTATATCAGATGCATTCAGCAACAAACAAAACCTAGTAAGGGGGCCTAGGAAATTAGGTTATTTAATTTAATTTCACAATGTCACTAAGTTCCCCTAGCTCTTCCCTTCTTTCTGTTCTTTTATTCTCAGTCTGTGGCTTCTTATTCTTGTGCTTATCATTTCATCTTTAAAAGTGTAGCTGCTGTGGCTCTGGACCTCACAACAGTGGTCAAAAACATTAGGTTGAGGCAGTGTGCTCCTTTTATCAGTGAAGGAAAACATTTTCAGAAGACTTCCTCTTCTTGTTCATTTGTCCAGAGCTGATCATGTGACTACATTTAGCTGCTTGCAAGGGAGGCTTGGGCAAGAGACTTATTGCAAAGGGGAATAGGATAGCCACGATGATCTAAGAACTGTTTTAATTCATCCCTTGGGACTGAGTTCAAGTCCATCTGAAATTTGAGGGTTCTGTTGGCCAGAAAGAAAATGGGGAATGATTGTTGGGTAGACTATAAATAGCGGTTTTTATGCCATCCTGGTACAAGATTGTTAAAATGTTTTCTTTTGATTTCCATGGTTTAGAGAAAAAACAAGGCTGTAAAAGGGATGCTAATTATTGGTAGAACAGAACGTCTTCTATGGTAGCCCAGTCTTACTGTCCTTTGTGTACACCTTAATTGTGCTCTTTGCTTGTGTTTTCCTTCTACCTGTGCTGAGTCTCAATTCTGTCATATTGACATGAAACAAATAGTTTTGAACATAAATCCCAACTGAACTGTAAGTTCTTTGAAAATAGGAACTTGGCACATAATGGACACTTGATATATAATAATAGCTCAGTTACTGAATTCTTACTATGTGCTAGGCACTTTTCTAAGCAATTCACATTTTTTAAGGCATTTAATCTTCTGAGTGACTCTGAGATAAGAAATATTGAACTACATTTTATAGATGAGAAAGCTAAGATGAAAGGAGATGAATGACTTGCCAGTGTCACAGCTGGTAGGTCTCACTGGAACCTTCAGTGTTAGTCACTGTGATGTGTATTTCCTGTCTGTTGAATGAATGCTCAGTAGGACCAAGCAGTTTTGAGGGGAGGACAACCTCAATGTCTAGTTCATCCATCCTATGTTTCCTGCTTATTCTCTGGCATCACGCCTTCCTCTATAGGCTCTTGAACTCATTGGCTCGTTCATCTACTCTATACAGCAATCTAAGACAGCTTCCTTGTGTATACTACTAAGAGAAGAAATACATACATCTTATCCTCTGACAAACTCACTAGTAACTTGAAAGTTAAAAAGATAATTTTATAAAGAGCCAATAAACAAAACAGGAATGCATAGAAGAGATTAATAAGCAAATATGAGCTTGATTGAATAAGTTCTGCAAAAATAAATAATTCTGCTAAAATAAATAAATAGTTTTGGATAAGTACCACTTCCAGGTTTGTCGAGATCTTAGATCTTGCCTTTAACTTACTTTCCAGTCCCTTCTTAAAAAGTAGATTTCTCGATGTTCTTTTCCGGCTTTAGACTGCCTTCCTGCAGTACTTCAGACCCACACCTCCCCCCACAGTCAGATATCTCCTGTCCCCTAGAGAAAGATGGCACTTTTATACCTACTATATTTCTCCCTATCGTGTTCATGTGTTTGCCTGCTCATCAACTGTTGATTAAGCCTCACCTATTACTTTAAGGTGTGAGTCTGGGTCCTCCCCTGTGGATATGTGACCTCAGTGGCTCTTCGATCATGGTAACAAGACACTCGATGGCTAATTGCAGAGTTCCTTGTGTCTGCTTTCCAAGGACAAACCTCCCTTTTCTCTCCAAAGGACCCATCTGGCTTTCAGCTCTTCTACTGAGTAGATGAATACTCAGGATCAAGTCTGGAGAGAGGTCAGCCTGGCTCTGTCTACTGACCTCTTTCCTTTTTCCTGTTTTTGACTCACTGTCAGAGGGGATGGTGGGACTTTTCCCAAGACTCCAAGTGGACTCTTATACTACTTTTGAAGGAGGAAAAAGATTGTCGGAAGGAAATGTAAATGTGCATCTGAAATTTTAAATTTTTTTATGCCTTTTTAAAGGGTTTTTTGTTTTTTGGTTTTTTTTTGCATAATATATATGAAAAATTTCATTTTAATGGTTAGGTTTTTTTTCCCTCCAGTACTTACTGTATGCCAACCATAGGGATACACAGATGAGCAGGACTGGGAATGAGGGAGGGAGGAGGAGGTGGGGTAGTAAACACAAAACAAATGCTTTGAACTGTATATGCAAAAAGTACTGTGAGAGTTCAGGTTAGTGACTGTTTCTCTTAGAAAAGTCAGAAAAGCCTTCACAAAGCAACTGACATTTAAGTGTCATTATCAAGGATGAGTAGGAGTCTGAAAGGTAAAGGAGGAAAACACATCGCATGCAGAAAGAAGAGCTTATGCAAAACAAGGAATTATAAACAGAGTGTGATTTTGGGAGTAGTGAGAATTTAGTGTGACCCTGAGCGTGGAATATGTGACTGGGGGTCAGAGTGAATGGGACCAGAAAGATAGATAAGGGTCAAATCATGAAGGGCTTGGCCATGGCAAGCTCAGGAGTTTAGATTACTAGGGTAATAGCCCATAAGACAGTGATGTGATCAGTTCACAAAACCAATTCGGAAGATACTATAGATATGCAGCAAGCTAAAGAAGTCTCGAGCTAAGATGATAGTGACCAAATTTAGTAGTTTTTGAGCTAGAAGTGACATGTTATAGTTATGAGTTCAGTGGAATGAAGGGATACAGTAAGGGAGAAAGATAGGGTCAAAGATTACTATAAGGTATCTTTTGCTTCGAGAGTGTGAGAACAATATTACTGAGAATGAGAATATAGGAGGAGGAATAGATTTTTTTTTCATGAGGTAGGAGCAAGAGTGGGAGGGACCTCTTCTACACTTTGAAGTAGCTGCAGGAAAGGAAGGATTTTTATAAACTTTGTGCCTTGACTTCAAGTACCCAATATGTGCTTCAAATCAATATATAGTCGATAGGTGACAATCAAGTCGAATATATTAATGAATAGTGCTTTATCACTACAGCTTAATCATTATACCTGTAAAATATAATAGCAGCTGTAATACAAGTAGAAGGGGATTTTTATTTTAAAAAATAAAGAAGTAGGAATACGTCAAACTAAAAAGTTTCTGCACAGCAAAGAAAACCATCAACAGAATTAAAAGGTAACCTACCGAATGAGAGAAAGTATTTGCAAATGATTTATTCAGTAAGGGGTTAATATCCAAAAAATAACTTATATAACTCAATGGCAAACAAACAAACAATCCAATTTAAAAATGGGCAGAGAATCTGAGTAGTAGACATTTTTCCAAAGAAGACGTACAGGTGGTTAACAGGTACCTGAAAGGATGCTCACCATCACTAATCATCAGGGAAATGCAAATCAAAACCACAATGAGATACCACCTCACACCTGTTAGAATGGACATTATAAAAAAGGCAAAAAATAACAAATGTTGGTGAGAATGTGGAGAAAAGGGAACTGTAGTGCACTGTTTGTGGGAATGTAAATAGATATAGCTAATATGGAAAACAGTACGGAAGTTCCACAAAAAATTAAAAATAGAATTACCATATGATTCAGCAATTCCACTTCTGGGTATTTATCCAAAGAAAACAAAACACTGGTTCAAAAGGATATCTGCACCCCCATGTTCATTGCAGCATCATTTACATAGCCAAGATATGGAAACAACTTAAGTGTCCTTCGATGAATGAATGAATGAATGAATGAAGAGAGTGTGGTATGTTTACATATACAATCGAAAATTATTCAGCCATAAAAAGAATGAAGCCTTCCCATTTGCAACAACATGGTTGGATCTTGAGGGCATTATACTAAGTAAAATAAGTCAGACAGAGACAAATGCTGTATGACCCTAATTATATGTGGAGTCTTAAAACAAAACAAAAAACATCAAGCTCATAGTTACAGAAAACAGATTGGTGGTTGCTACAGGTAGGGGTTCAGCAAAATGTGTAAAGAGGGTGAAAAGGCACAAATTTTCAGTTATTAAATAAGTCATGGGGATATAATTTATAGGGTGGTGACTGCAGTTATTAATACTGTATTGCGTATTTGAGAGTTGCTACGAGAATAGATATTAAAAGCTCTCATCACAAGAAAAAAAATTTGTAAGTATGTATGGTGGCAAATGTTAACTAGACTTACTATGGTGATCATTTCACAGTCTATACAAATATCAAATCATGAAGTTGTACACCTGAAACGAATATGTCAATTATACTTTAATAATTAAAAATAAAGTGGGGAAAAAAAATAAAGAGGTGAGACAACTGTCCTTTGTCTCTTGATTCCTAGTATATTTTTAGCTCTAAACTGACTTACTGTCATTAAAAATAATTTAGATTATCACCACTGTATTATATATATAATAACACTCTTTTTTTGGCTCTCAAAGTCACTTGTGAAGTCAAGCCACATATATTATAAAACAAATTTTCACAAATGTCAGAAATGCATGGATGGCTTCTTTGCTTATAAGTGAAAACAAGTCTTGTTAACAGGCCGAAAGACATCTCTCAGGTAAATTTTTTCTTCTGGACATCTTGGCTCTGCTATTTGTGACTTGTGGATCCTGAGCGCAATACATACACCTCAAGTCCAGAAAAAAAAAAGTTAGGCAGTTCGATTTTCATGAATATATGGATTTTATGTACGAATGTCAGTAAACTATTGGTGTAAAGTCTTTTGCATTCTCAAGCTCTAATACACTTAATTTTTTCTCCTTTTTTAAAAAATCTTAAATGTGTATTTTTGAGAATTGTTTTCCTTTCATAACATTTGATCTAGTACTAGAATAATCTGCTTTTAGTTTTTCTAATCAGTTGGTGAGCCAATAAATTTCTTGTCGTTTGTTTTTCCCTCTTTTATGAGTTGCATGATTCTCATTGTTCTGATGTTTGCAGAAACAAGTTGGAGAAACATGGTGGAAACTTCAGATGGACTGGAAACATCAGAAAATGAGAGAGAAGCTTCCCGTAAACATAACAGCACATCTGAAAAACCCAGTAAACTTCCATGTGACACAGCCCCTGTTGATAAGCAGTCGTCTCTGGTGGCTACAGGCAGTACTACCTCAGCTACAAACCTTGGGAAATCAACAGTGAGTGACAAAGAGGAAGTGAAGCCGGATGACCTGGAGTGGGCCTCACAGCAGAGTACCGAGACCGGCTCTTTGGATGGCAGTTGCCGAGATCTTTTGAACTCCTCCATCACTAGCACTACAAGCACTCTTGTTCCTGGCATGCTTGAAGAAGAGGATGATGAAGAGGAGGAGGAGGAGGAGGAGGAGGATTATACTCACAAACCCATATCTGTAGAAGTGCAGCTCAACAGTAGAATTGAGTCTTGGGTCTCTGAGACCCAGAGAACAATGGAAACTCTTCAGCTTGGGAAAACCCTTAATGGCTCTGAAGAAGACAATGCAGAGCAGAGTGGGGAAGAGGAAGCAGAGGTGCCTGAGGTGCTGGAGCCAGGGATGGACAGTGAGGCCTGGACTGTTGACCACCCAGCAGGTCTGGAGGAGCAGAAGCCCAGCAATCGCAGCTCTGTGAACAGTGAGCACTCTGATGCTAATTATGCGCCCCCAGATCTTTAACTCAGGAGATGTCAGCTTTCTGTCCAACTGTGTAAGGGTTATAGCCATTATCTTTTATGCTTCATCTCAATATTTTGCACTGTCTAGTATTTAATATATGTATTTAATTCCTGACAGAAATATTTTTGTAGCTGTCTTTTACTTGTTATGATCTATAGCTTAGCTTTTAATTAGCATCTAGGTGTCTTTCTAAGAACTATGTGGAAAATTCAGAATTGTTTCAGCTTATTTTGTTATGGAAAATAATGATTGAAAGAAGAACAAGAATAGGTTTTAAAGAAAATAAGTTTAAAATACCTATTTAGAAACATTAGGAAAGTTAAAGGTCAAAGTTCTAAGGACAGGAACAGTTATCAATGTTTGCTTCAAGACTGTGCTTCCTTCACTCTGATTTGTCTGGCCAAAAAGCTGTTTGGACTTCTTTTAAAAAGAACTAGTGGTAGAGTTGGGGGGCGGGGTGAGGGGGAAAAACTGAGAGTAACTAAGTCCACAAAGTGTATTTTTGTTAAAAATTGATGCAACTTTTATTTGGTCCACAAATACTGGTGTCAGAGGTCACTGATCAATTACAATTGATCAAAGTTGCTATGGGCATAAACAGCCTCTAATACTTAGGCTAGCAAAGGTGCCACCGTGATAGATTAGAGCTAGCCTTACTTGTAGAAAGTGATAAATGTCTTTACTAGTGAAAAGTCACCCATGATAGGACCTTCCAGGTTTTATCTCTTATTTGCTTCTTACCTCAGGAATGCTTTTGTACATAGTCATATTTACACAAAGTTAGGCAAATTTTGACATTGAATAATTGTAATTGTATGACTGCAGCACTTAAACTATCCAGAAACAAAGTCTTATACTGGTGTGTTCTCTTGCGTGCTTCTTATTCAGGACCTTCTGAATTTGAGATATGGATTTGATGGGGTATCCAAACTTGTCCTGAGTGAAAAACTGTTTCACCTTTTAAAATATATATATAATATATATTATATATATATATATTACCCCTAGTCTTGAGCACCTGCCACGTAACACTAACCGTAGTTACTGATAGGAGGTCAGGGAAAAGAACTGTACACAACTTATAATGTGTATCTTGATAATTAAGGCTTAGAAGAGGAAGTTTCGAAGAAAAGAGAAAGTTGTTCTAATTGTGCTGAAATTATTAGCTGATTTAGAGTATGCAGATAAACACAGGTAATAATTCTTGATCACTATTATTTATCTCTGCCCTTCTCTAGGAATGTGTATACCTGCTTGGGATAAATTAAACTTAGTAAGCTAAATGTTTTATTTGCTAGTCAGTCACCACCTGGTAGTGAGTGACCTTTACAAGTTTATGTATAGTGGGAGAATTACAAATTACTTATTTTTCTGTCTTTCCTCCAGCTGACCAACACACATACACCCACACACACACAAACACACACATACACACCACCACCACCACCACCACCACCACCGCCACCCCCCCGCCCCAGTTTTACATGTACAGGCTCCCGTAAGCAGGCAAAGGACTGGGGAGGGTGGGTGGTTTTCCTGTCCTGGTTTTATGGAGCAGGCCTTCCCTCACAGAGGGAGAAGGGAAGAATTGGGCAGGTTCTTTAGGGAACTCTTTGGGACTACTGTGCTCGTTTAGATGTTTTATAATGCTGGCATTTAATTACTAGAGATATCAGATTCTTGGTCGATGATTTAGTATTTGTCAATTACGAAAGTTTAGGAACATTGCTGTGTAGAAAAAGTTAGTCAGGTTTATTAGTGTGCTAAAAGGGGACGTTACTGTCCTGTCTAAACTGTTCTCCAGTATAGATTTCTTAAGCACAAAGTATCCAGTACTTAAAGGAACACAGCATGTAAGGAATGAAGCCTCTGAAATAGTAATCATGAATTTATTTATATGTGGCAGATCTTACTGTCTACACATTTGGAGATGTTATCTGGCTTAAAGAAATGATAGAGTTTTTGAACTACTGACAATCTTAAAAATGAATTTAAAAACTTTTCATACTTTTTAATGGTGAAAATTTCCTTTGCTTGGTGTCAGTGGTTCAGAGACTCTTGATCTTGATTGAAGTTATGGTTTTTCAAAGGTTTCTTGAATTTTATATCTCTTCTGAACGAAGATTGTCATTTTAGATTTTTGACATTTATATGAAAAGAGAAGTTGAGGAAATCTTCAGAACACCAATATTTTTTCATTTTGCTAGAGACTTTAGAATTGTTCAGTTATGTGTTCTATAAATGATTTTGCATGTGCAGTATCTTCTGCCAGCAAATGGAAGGGACCACAGTTCTTTATAAGACAGGTCACCTCTAGAAGACGACCCAAAATTTATTAAAGGAAATGCTACTGTGTTGAAGGTATGCTTAAATAAATGTTAATAATGTCTTTATAATTTGTTTCCTTTAGATAAATTCTGGAGTTTCTGTATATTATATACATGAGAAGGTTTGAAAATTAAGGAAGTGGTTTTTTTGGATCTGGGGCGAGTGACTCTTTGGGGATCTAGAGGGAGAGCTAATGGTAAGAGTAAGGGTTCATCATCATAAGAAATAAAAACCATAGTGATTTTTTTTCTTAGTGTGTAGAGATTGTTTTACTGGCAATAATTAATATTAGATTTCTATTTCAATATATAAATATATGAATTACAGTATAAATTGCACTCCCCAAACTAGATATCTGCTTTAGTAGATTTGTTTGCTGTGAAGATTACTTCTCAAAAGACAAATGTTCCTATTAATTTTTGGTTTAAATATGTCTGTAAATGATGTAATATATTTCTTTTGACTAAACATGGGAAAATAATCTGTGTTATACATTGAAAAGTTTATAAAGGCTTTGACTGGTGGTCATTTTTGCAGAGATGGTATTTTATATCCTTCCAGTATTTGGAAAAGAATTAGTCAAAAGGAATTCATATAGTTTCAATATTGAGAAATTAATATCCAAATAATGTACTTGTCTGATTTCTTAATAAGCTGAGGGAGGTGGGCGGGGTGGTAATTGTAATGTGCAAATGAGTAGTGAACTCTACATTCATTTTTTAACTCTTTAACATAAAACTGTTAAATCTTAACACATTTGTTACTTTAATATATGTATAAAGAAGTATTACTGTTTGTAAAGCTGCTGTTTGCTTTAAAAAAAAAAACCTGTCACTTAAGTATTTTCTGTATGTTGTGCCAACACGTTAGAACATTAACTTATCCATTTAAAAACTTTATCTTTTTTTGATTTGAAAAACTTTCTGTGAAATAATTTATTTGCAGACATCTTCCTTCTCCCTTGCCCCTTCTAGCCTTCACACACATCACAGAATCAACCAAACTGTTTGCCTGATATAAAATCTGAATCCTAATTAATTATAAAAACTTAAACTTCGTTGGCACATCACACCTTAAAAGTATTTGTATTATTTTATAATTTAATTTCTAAATATACTACGTAAATTTATAATTTAATGTCTTAATTGTGATGCTTTAATAAAAAACTAGCAAAAATTAGTACCAGTTATAACAAGAAGGGATTTTCATCTTGTTCTTTTGCTGTATGAAGGATAATTGTTATATCACATATTAGGAGTAATAATCACAGCTTTTTTGCACTATGTAAATACTAGTGAATATTCTTCTGTAACTAATAAAATGATTATTGAAATGTAGTCTGTCATTTCAGAATAGGAACTTATGGAATTTATGACTTGCCCATCATGTAGGATAGAGAAAAAAAGTACAGCTAGTAGTAGTGCTTAGTATTCTCATGGTTTGCCAAAGAAGGTTGTAAAATCTGCAGGAAGGAATTAGTAGTAAAAGTCTCCATTTGGATTGGTTGGTGTGATCTGTGGCATGGGCATAGGCATCTAGCCAGAGACCATCCTAGTGTTGGGAGAAAGTGCCTAAGGCTTCCTTTTTGTGCTAGTTACTCTGTGCCAAGTATTTTTCTAAGCCTCTTCCCAGTATTGTCTCTTTTAATCCTCACAACAGCCCTTTGAAGAAATACTATTTTTCACTTTTTAGATGATGAAATAGTAGTCGTGGAGATGTTAAATAACTTGCCCAAGATCACACAGCCGGTAAATGATAAAACTGGGATTCAAACTCAGTACCATGGCAAGGTCCACGCTTTTACTCACTGTGCTTTGTTGTGTCTCGGCACAAAATGCTCGATGCATTCAAACCAAACAGAGCTTCCCTCTGCTGCCTCCGATGTCTTGTGGAATGTGAAATGTGCCAGGACTGAGCTGCTTGCCTCAGAGACCACATTTACTGAGCCTCACCTGATCACTCTCCCTAGACTAGTCCCGGACCTAGTCAGTATGTTACATGGAATCTGAAAAGGATAGACACATCTGTTAAAAAATAGGAGGATCACTAATTTTCATAATGAACAGTAATGAACTTGATGACTGCAAAAAAAGGTGGGATGCCTTTTAGTTGTATCAGAATTTTTTTTTTTTTTTACCTTTTGTACCACTTCTGATGAAGTTCCTTTTCTAACAGTGATCAGTTTTTCTTCTAACCGACCAGAAGAGGGTGTGCATGGCACCTGAGAACAGTCAAAAGCTAACATGTAATATTAATAATTTTTTAAAGTGAGGAGAGTGGGAAGAAATACCCGGAACCATGGGCTTTGCTATAAATGTTTAGCTCTGAGTCTAAGCGCAGAACGCATGAACCATACCTGTAGGTATTTCATTTTAGAGCACACCATCAACAGACACTTAGATCATGTGTTAAGTAGGTCAGTCATTTGATACTTCTAAATTATCTTAGCTATTCAGTTAATGTTTCAGCATGACGTGGGTTTTTCCAGTGTTCTTGGGATTCTTTTAACATGTATAAAGTAAGATATCTGGCTTATTATAGAATAGGTATTAGTGGCAGCCTTGTGGATCACAAGACCAAAAGCATGCTCTACTGGAGCTCCCACAGTACAGGATTTGGAGAAATGTGAGATGCTTCAATTCTGGACCCAGTCTCAATCCCTATATTTCTCTCCATCCCACACTTATCCTTTTACTTGTACTCCCTATCACAAGTACTGAGACAACTATAGAAATGAGTTAGGCAAACTTCATGCCTATAACCTGGCTACCTGTATCCAAGGTTTCAGTCTAGATGCAGAGAATTAGAGCAAGTAAGAAACTGAGCTGCATGAAATTTGGAGCTCCCAAATGAGCATGGTGTTCCTTCTCCAATTGCTGAGGAACCAAACAGAAAATCCAACTGTGAGTTGGTGAGCTATGGTTTGGGTCCTGGAGTGGTACAGTTTTCTGTGGAAGGAATGAGTTGCTTCATCTCAGAAACACAGGCTTAGCCAAGGCCTTGATTATCTAGAGGGAACAGGTAATAACCCCAGCCTTCTCATGGTGGGACTCTGATTTCAGACAGTATTGGTTGCGTCTACTAAGAGAAGAGTGACGTTAGTAAAAGTAATACCTATCGAGGCGTGCACAGATTCCCCAGGTAATCTTTGCTTTTCAGTTTTCTCTTTGTTTACCTGAGTTAGAGCACTTTCATTGCTTTCCAAATCCTCAGATTGAGAATAAGATAATGAAAGTTAAGTAAGTTTGTTAGTTCTGGTTAAGGAGAAATGAGAACTTTTGAAAATTATTTGTTTCTCAATCATAGGAGAAATGTTAGAGGTCATTATCCCAAACATTGTTCTTTTTCCTTGCTTTCCCCTTCCTAAAAGCAATAGTGTTTCTGACAAGTGTTACAACATTTATAATTAGGAAGGTAAGAAAGATCTATATTACTACTTTACAGATATTCAGTGATAGCTGAGAAAAAGGATACACCAATTTAATTATTACTCTTTCACTAATACTTAAGACATACTAGTTAAACTGTTTCATAATCTTTTGGATAAGGGGATCAGCAAACTACAACCTGTGGGCCAAATAGGCCAGCAGCCTATTTTTGTAAATAAAGTTTTATTGGAATATAGCCATACCCATTCATTTACATGTGGCTGCTTTTCCTGCTACAGTGGCAGAGTAGTGACAGAGACCATATGGCCCACAAAGCCTAAAGTATTTCCTAAATACGCCCTTTACAGAAAGTTTGTCATCCTCTAAAATTGAGATAATAACCAACGGCACTTCATTCTCTCGTGGTTTTCCCCCTAGTTCTTCCTTTTCAGGATGATACATCTGTCATGGATTTATATACTAAAAATATGCATTAAGATCTGCCCAATGGTAGAAGGCGTGTGGATGCCTAGGAGGAGTACCATCAGAGATAAGCCCTGAGGCTTTGATAGTACAGGGACTTGGCAGGCTTGGGCTCTTGTTTCTCCATCTTCTATGTACTCTAACATCAGGCAAGTCCCTTGATTCTCTGGTTTTTGGTTTCTCTATCAATGAGGGATGTACTGGTTGAGTCAGCTACAGGACCCTGAAACTTGGATCCTCCTTTGGGAAACTGAGGCCATTCTTTCGTTAAGTAAGGTTGAGCTGGACTAGGGTGGGGCACTTTGCTAAGGCTACCATAGCCAAAGACTGCCAGCACCCTCAAAATGGCTTAGTACCGAGAATGGGCCATGGTAATTAAGCCAGTCACTCTAGATCCCTCAAAAATTTGAAGTGGAGGCCACAGAAAGCATATGGAGTAGGAGTACTAAAACAGTAGAGAGGCTGTGAGAACAACAGAGCAAGGAGCTGCCTTCTATCCTGACAGCTTTGCATTTTTAACCCGTCCCTAGGCCTTTGATCAAATACTATTTTTTTCTTGATTATGGAGAGCTTGTCTGTTTTTGACAACCAACAGTCTTCCACAGATGATCTTTAAGTTTCCTTCAAACACAAATGGTCATATGCTTCAATGAAGAGAATGATTCATCATAAATGCATTGAGAACTTGCCATGGTGTCACGTGCCAAGCAAGCATTGTGGCAGAGTGGGTCCCTGGGGGCACATAGAATGGCCCCAGGACCTCAGTGGGGATGTCTGCAGATGGAATACAAGCCAGATCAGGGTATTTCCTCCAGACATGGCTGTGGGTGTGGAAGAATTCCAGCAGCTCCAACCGCCACCAGCACCATTACACCTGCATAGGGTGTTCATAACCAACTGGCCCAAAGCCTTCAGATCGTCCTTGACCCCTTCTCATATATCCAGTCTGTCAGGAAATTGTTAGTTTCATAGCAAAATATATCTAGAATCCAATGACTTTTAACTACTTCCTGTCTTCATTGTCTCTTACTTGGATTACTTCAATCGTCTCTCCCTGGTCACACGGCTGTCACAGTGTGTTTTTGTTCTCAACACAGCAACCATAATGATCCTGTTAAAAATATAAGACAGATCATCTCCTCTGTTCTGACCCCTCCAATGGTTCCCATCCTATCCAGAGAAGAAGCCTTCTTCCAAATCTGCAGTGGTCCACATACATGGATACTCACTCTGATTTACTCCTCTGATTTCACCTGCTACCATACCTCTCCCTTCATCACTACTGGCCTCCTTGCTAGGTCTCAAACCCGCTAAGCATGCAGCTGCTACACAGCCTTTGCATTGTCTGTTTCCTAGAAAGTCCAGTCACCTAATCCTGTACCTCCTTTGGATTTTGGCTCAAATGCACCTTCACGGTGAGGCTCTGGGAGAGTCAGAGTACCCTATCCAGAATTGTAACACCTCTTCCTCACTTTTTCCCCAAACCTCTTTTTTTTTCTTTTTTCTTTTTTCTTTCTTTTTTCTTGTCTTTTTTTTTTTTTTTTACCATTTGCACTTATCCCCAAACCTGTTCTCCCCAACCCCACAGTTTACATGTATCAAGCTCTAACCTCCTATAGAGCTTGTCTTGTCTCTCCCCTTCTACTAAATTCTGTGAAGGCAGGAACTTTGGACTTTTGTTACTGCTTTATCCTCAGTGCCTAGCATAATACCTAGCACAAAATAGGCACTTGATAAATCTTTATTGAATGAATGAATAAAAGAAGACTGAATGAAGTAAGAAAACTGGCATTTGCAATGTAGCCGTGCTCTGTGCAGCATTAACACTCATACTCGCTGGCTCCCTGACTACTCCTACTTTCCTACATTTGTTCAGAGTTTGGGGTTGGAGGAAAAAACTGACCCGAATCTCAAATAGAAAAGCCGCACCCAAGAATAGGAGGCTCCCAGAGTTCTTTGTTCTTAATGGTCCTGTGTTGCTTATAACTTAAAACATGTGGTAAGTTTAGTAACTAATGATTCCTGTGTAGAGGGAGGTGACAAGTATGCTCTCAGA